GGTTGCAAAACAGTTCACATTTTTAAAAAAAGATACATACACATGTACACGGAAGTTTTGAAGGGGCAAATGCCCAAGTGTCAGTAGTAATTACCTCTGAGGAGGAAAGGAGAGCAAAGTAAAGGAAGAGACTGTCACTTTTACTTTGTACGTATCTGGGGTTTTGTTATGGTGGTAATGGTGGACATTTTGTTGTTTTTTGCATTGTTTTCAACAAACGTGCTACTTTTGTAGTTTTTAACGACAATTTTGTTTCTTAATCATTTCTGAGCCTATTTTGTCTCTTTGTAAACTTTGAACAACCAGAGTTTGTTTTTTTGCTTGACAGAATGTTTTTGATTCAATGGAGATACCACACTGATTTCTTGAAGAGAAGCTTCTGAGTCCTAGATTACAGTGAACTAGAAGGACTGAGAAACTGGCTTAGAGCATGGGGTGGTTGTGTGGTAAGTCTGGTGACAAATTGCCTATGTACGGTGATAATTAGAGCTTTAGTTAATGGACGTATGCACTACATGCTATAGTAATAGATATTATGTGGAAACGTTGTTCATTATTACAGGAAAGTAACTAATGTTTGCAAAGAGCTTATTATGTACCATAATAAGCAATCTCCTTCAATCCTGTAAGTAAATATTATTTTCATTTCAAAGTGAAAGAAAGGCTCAAAGAAGGCTGAATTTATTCAGCTGAATTTATTCAGCTCAAAGAAGCTGAATAAATTAATCAGGACCAAAATGCAATATTGTAAAATAAAAATAGTTTACCATTTGGCATGCAGAGAAATTGGTGACAGCACTGTCACTTAATAGTAGATAATCAGATTGATAATCTGATCTGTCAAATTGCAGATCTCCCAGGTGAGTCTTGGTATCAGGAAGGTGGGAGAGGGCAGGGTTTATAACTTCTTAGTTATAGGAGAATACAGCAGAGAATGGTTTAGCAATGAGCCGTGTAAACCATATCTCCGAGTTTTTAATCCTATACCGTCTCTTTTTTTTTTAACCTAAAATTGAAGTTGGTTTTTAGTTTACCAAAGTTTCAAGATAAGACAATTAGTTTGTGTCTGAAGTGTTATGTATTGGAATAATTAATATTTAATTATCTTCCTTCATGAACTGTGGAGCTCCCTATTGAGAGCTTTTGTGGTAGCCAAGCAAATCCTTCAATAAAGCTTTTGTCCTCTTTGTTAATCTTGGAACAGTTTGAAAGGTTTTTAAACCAAGGCTTTTTCTTTTAATCCATTCAATATTTACTAAAATTTTTATTCTTTCTATACTTAGAGGAAAAGAATGGTATGTCTCAGAATATTGGGATTAGTTCTTGAGGATGAGAAGAGATAATGTTTGACCTATTTAGAGAATTATGGATGACTTAAGGACACTTGAACTTTTTTTCCCATTTAGGAAATACGTGCTTTGGAAACTATGAAAAATGAGAATTTTCAGTATCAGCAGTAGGAAAAAATTCAATTTATAGAACTCTATATTAATATTTATGAAACCCATGAAAACTTGAGCAGCTGTATGTCCAAAATTATAGAGAATATGCTGCCTTAGTTTTGAAGATGGATTGAAATTTTGCCTGGATAAAGGGACATTTCTTAAGATAAGCTTTTTGCTTTATTTATGATAGTCGAGAGTATGTATGGACAACCATTTTTAGTAAATTCAAGATGTGTACTGTATTTAATCACCATTGTTCTAAGTTTTGCTTTTGAACACTGAGAAAGAATACAAAGTACATTCTGGCACCAAGTACCTAAGTACCTGTTTACCTCTTTAGATGCTGATAGACCACTTGTTTTGCTAGTCTTTGGAACTGGAAGGAGTGTCAAATACACAGAAGCCAGAGTCATCTCGGCCAGATGGTGTTTGATACAGATGGATGGTTAGTTGTCATGCAGATCTCCTAGTTGGTAACTTGTTGCTGCCATCTGACTCAAAGAATCATTCACACACACTGGCTGTCAAAAGCATCTTCTCTTCTGTCTGTTTTAGCTGTCATGTCTGTGCTCTGTACAGAAGTGTTGACAAGACATTGCTGTTGTACGTTTTCAATGTGGTTGTTAGTGATTTTTCTGTTTTGTTGGGTCTTTGGTAGTGCTGGAATGTACTTGCTTTTTAATTGTACTGTTTTTTTAAAAAAAATACTGTGACAGTGCAACAATTATCTGACCTTTTAAAAAGACTTTTCAGATAGTAAGTTTGTTAACATCTGTTCAGTGAACAAAAGCATTTACTAAAAAGAAAAAAAAACCAAACTTCTTGTTCCTGTTAGTTTCCAAACATAGCAAGTAAACTGAATTCTGCTGGTTATTTCCCAGTTTGATACAGTATCCTCTTCTGGACTTCCCCTCTCATAGCCTTGTGGTCAGAAGCTTTATACTATTTTCTAAATAAGTATTTTCTCTTCTCAAATTAGTACGTTTTTTTCTGATAGTATAAGCTTCCCTTTTTTCCCAGAAAAAGAAAATCTTCAGACATGGCCTATTTTTTTTGCATCCATCTTCTGAAACTTAATTTCCTTTTGTCTTATTTACCTACTGACCTACTGTCTCTATTTTTCCTATTTTCCTTATAGAAATGTAAGCAAAACCTTATCTCCATTCCTTCAGGTTACTTCTGAAGGCATATCTATTTCTCTTATATTTCCTTATAAAACTCAGTTTATTTATTCGACTAATATTTATTGAGCATCTCAGTGTGTGCTAGGTACTCTGCTGTACTCTGGAGATGGGGTACTCAGGAGAAAATAGTCTCTGCCCTTGAGGAGGTCATAGTCTAAAGGGAAATCATACATATAAACATTTAGGCTAGACTACTGTAATTGATATAATGTAAGTATGTGGAAAGAACAGTAAAAGAACATGGGTCATTGCTGTTCTATTTCCCCTGCTATACTTCCAGAGTATTGGTTTTTAAATTATTACAGAATTTGCTTAAGTTTATAAAGTACTTTGTTAAGTTGTTTAAGAAATAGTTCGAAACTTCAACTTGAAATTATTGTTGATCTATAGATTTTTTTTCCAGCTAATGAAAACATTTTCAGCATTATTCATTTATTGTAATATGTTATATGCAGGTGTGCTAAAGTATATTTTTAAGCCAGAAACTAGAAGATGAAAATTACCTGGCAGAGGCTTTCTGAGTTGGTTCCAAAAGAAAATACAAGTCATTTGTTTTTTCATTAAGGTTGGGGGAAAATATATAGTACATGGAGAATGGACTGAGGCTTGAATAACTTATACATTTATTCTGGGCCCGTCTCTAACTTACTAAGTTTTTTGTACTGGTTACTTAATGCTGGATAGTAGAATATATATAGCTCTCAAAGAATAGTGAAAGAATGGGTAATTTTTCGTTGATATTTATGAAAAGCTTTGAGTTCTTTAGAGAAAGTTCTAAATACACAGAAGTAGGTAGTACAGACTGTAATATCAGCGTGTTTGCTGATTCCTCAGCCCTGGTGGCTCTGTGTAGCCAGGTAAATTTAAAGTATTACAGAATTTGCATTAGAGGTTTAAACCCTTCTTACAGTCAACCTACCCACTCTTCCTAGGGGCTTGGATGTAAGTTTATGTAGGAATAAGAAGTCTTATTTGGGGAAGCCTGGCCCTCGACTGGAATTTGGTATCCAAGGTTCTGTTCTCAGACTCCTAGTCATAGGACATATGGTTCAGACAGATTCAAAAGACTCATTCTTTTATTCATTATAATAAAATTTACTTGGATTTTCTTTTAATTGGATTCTTTATTTCTTTTATTTTATTTTTTCAATAAGCATGTACTGAATTCCTCCTATGTGTAAGTTACTTTGCAGAGTTCTATGGGAGTATCAAGTTATATGATACCACCCTCAGGCAACATGCAAAGACAACACACCAGTTGGGTTATTTACCAGCTTTGTCAGTTACTCATGTGTGAAGTGTAATACTTATAAAATTTCACCTTTTATTTGGGAAAATGTGGTATTTTGCTTTCATTTCTTAAGCTAATTTACTTTGGGAATCTAGGAACAGCTGTGTATATAAAGAACTTTAGGTTTATAGATCTCTGAAAATAATAGAGCTTCATTAATTTTGAACTTTGATTAAGTATCAATTCAAAATAGTATATTTAGTATCTATTGAAGGACAGTCCAAGATTATTAGAACCCCATTTCATATTTCAAGGAATTTACAATTTAGTCATTTATATGTTCTTTTAGTGATAGAAATTGTTAAAGAATTCTCTATTATTCTTTGGTCATATATTTTTCAGACTTCGTGTTAATTTGATAATTGTAATGGAACGTTTTCAAATTTCGGGTTTGCAACATTTGTATTCTCTAATGCAAACTCGTGTTCTTCTTTCATTGCTGAATTCTCACAGCCACTGCAATGAAATAGTAAGGTGAATGGATTAAAAATATAAGGGAAATTGTGGTATTTAAGATATCCACTAGAGATTAACCATGTGTTCTCTTGACTTCTTAAAACTTAATCTTAGAAGTTTCTGATCAATATATTTTATAATTTGTACATGTCCCTTTGATTTTCATAGTGTTTTAGCTATAGCTACTTCGTTTGTGTTTTTGTACTCTAAAAGTAAATTCAAAAGTGTGTTTATTTAAAAGACATGAAATCTTCACTTTTTAAAGTTAGTGGGTATTTTTATAGAATAACTTTAATATCCATTTTGTCATTCATGCTTTTTTTGTTATTATTAAGGATTAAATTCTAAATTATAATTTTTATCCAAGAAACTATACGTTGAACTCCTAACTGAAATTTCTTTAAGAAGATTTTTAAAATTTTACAGTGTTTAAAGCGTTTTAAATCACTTATGTGTAATGATTATAAATGCATTATTGGATCCTATTTTTAGCTCATAAATAAATGCTCCAGTACCTGGGAAATGGCAATATGGGTAACTCATATCTATATGTAATTATTAAGGGGCAGTAAATGTATGTACATGTCTGTCAGTAAATATCAGGCTAACTGGTTTTCATGTCAGCAGACTGAGAACTATGAGCAGAGAATACGTGAGCAACAGGAACAGCTGTCACTTCAACAAACTATTATTGACAAGCTAAAATCACAGTTACTTCTTGTGAATTCCAGTCGAGGTATGTTCATGTTAAATTTTTATTTATTTCTTAAACCTCTGGGAGAAAAGAAAGATGGAAGTTAAGTTTTTCTATTTTATTTCTCCATTGTTTTACAGTAGTTCTGATATTTTAATAACTGTGGTACAGTTACATTTATTTAAGAAATGAACAGTTGCAGGAAATGGGAAAATGGACATTCACATATATTATCTGGTGGAACTCTTAAGTTGATAAAACTTCCTAGAAGACAATTTGTCAATAAATAGCAAAAGCTTTTAAAATGTCTGTGCCTTTTAAACCAAAAATTCAAGTCCTAAGAATATATCATAAGAAGATATTTCTTTAAGTACTCAAGGTATATATGCAAGGATGCTCATCACAGTATAATTTCTAATAATGGAAAACTAGAAATAAATGTTCAACAGTTAAATTACAGTCATTTGTGTAGTGAACAGCTATGTAGCCAAGAAAAGTGATAATAGGTGTTCAGTTACAAACATGAGACATATTCATGACATATGGCAAACTGAGCAAAGCAAGATAAAAAATAAATGTAATTTTATCTATGCAAAAAAAAAGATTCTTTTGTGAATTTATATGTATTGGAAAAGAAAAATTCTGATAAAATATAAACCAAAATGTTAATAGGAATAATTCACAGATAATAAAAACTGTGGGTAGCTTTTATTTTTTTTATTCTTTTCAGCATGTCTGCATTTTCTCATTTTTTAATAATAAGCATAGAGTATTATGCAAATAGTTATCATAAACAAGAAATGCATACCTGAAAATATGACTTAAATAAAAGTTTAATTACATTGCTGATGATAAGATACAAAGAACATACTTCTAGTTTTCTAAATTCTACATATTTTATATACTACTGATATTGGAAGAGTAGGGGTTTTGTGCGTTTAGTGGGAATGAAAGTAAAAAAATATGAATCAAATATGCCAAAATCTAAATGGGCAAATTGTCAAAGTAGCTATTATCTAAAGAATTTTTTAAATTCATAGTTTAAAATCTCTACTCTTTAAAATTAGGGATTTGGGTTTGTATTCTTTTTACTTTTCCAGGTGGTACCAAAAACAAGGATTTCCCACTTATGTCTAAGAGGTTTTTGTCTTACAGATAACAGTTATGGCTGTGTTCCCCTGCTTGAAGACAGTGAAGCAAGGAGGAATAATTTCACTCTGGATCAGCCACATGATAACGTAAAATCACGAATACCAAAAGAAAAAGAATCAAAGGTAGACTGCGCTGCCAGTTTATTCCCTAAAGGAAATAAATGAGAAATCGGGCTTCTTGAATTATTTAGTCAGTATTCTGTCACATTTGGGATGGGCAGGAACGGTGGAGAATCATTCAGCTCTCTTCACCCCCACTCCAATTTCCGTTTATCTAAAACTGCTAGTAAACACAAGAAACTGTGCCACTGGAACATGTTCAGGTTTATTTTGCAAAAGACAAAATTCAGAAACAGTGATTCTGAGTTTTAGAATACAATTTTGTGATAGAGCCTGTTATAGTACATTTTAAAATCATTGAACTACTATAAAATGCTGACATAAATTTAGTGCTTAAGTAAATAATATTTGCAGACCATTTTCCTGTTTCAGAGACTTCTAAATGTCATGATTTATCATCAATTTTTAGTCAAAATTCTTATATTTATTCCAATTATAACATTTCTCTGAAAATAATAAAATATCTGCAGTTCAAGTACATAGAAAGTATTTTTGAAAGTAGCAGTCTTGATTAGAACAAAGGGGATAATGTGAAAGGCTCTAAGATATATTAATAATTTAGTTTATTTTGAATTTGGATAATTTGTCATTATGAAAGTTTTAGAGTTTGTCAATTAGTGTTCAAAGAGAACCTTCAAACAGATTTCTTTTTTAAATTATGTTTGTTTTAATTTTGTAAGATGTCTTTATGTCTCAAATATATATATATCTGAACAGCTGGGCTGAAATTAAGTGTAAGTAACAGAAATGATGTCAAAGGTAGCTTATTTCCAAAAAATTAATAATGTTGCATCAATTATAACCTTATTTGTTGACAGACCACAAGAGGGAAAAATATAAAGCTCCAAGTAGGAAATAAATCTAAATTCAGTGAGTTCTCTTAATTATCTTTACTAACAGGGGAAAGATTTATTTGACAGCTACGTATTTAACTCTTTGAATAGCTCATCAACTCAATCTTTTTGTATTATAATAAAAATTAGCAGTTTTATATTTCAGTTTTCTAATCTTCCTTTATGTATCTAGAGCCAAAGTGCTAATGAGCACTAAACATATAAAGGATTAAAGGGAAGAAATATATTCTAAAAGAATGGATAAATTGGATTTATTGAGTATTTAAGAGCTGGCTATATATGCGTTACAAAAATTAGTCCTAATTTAGAAAAATACTGGCCAATTGAAATTAAAATCTTTTCCATTGGCATATATGTTGATCTGAGCTAATTAAGTTATAATTAAATACACTTTTAGGTAATACAATTGAAATCCTTTCCTGAAGGAGTTTGATTGGCATGGATATCATTAAGGTTTTTCCAAAATGAAAAAATTCCATATTGGTTGCTTGCAATTTTGTCAAAGTATGCATGTATACACAAGACAAAACCTAGAAGGTAGTATGCAGAAATGGCTAAGATAATGGCACAATTTTCTGTTTTCAATATGCTTTTATTAGCCTTCTCAAAAACGAATTGATTTTATTTTTTTTACTGAAGTATAGTTAATTTACAACATTATGTTAATTTCTGCTGTACAGCAAAGTGACTCAGTTATACATATATATATATTCTTTTCCATTATGGTTTATCATACTGAATATAGTTCTCTGTGTCATGAAAAACTTAACTGATTTTAGAAATTACATTCCCAATCAGTTGGCCTAGCCTCTGTAATGAATTAGTGAGTTAATAGAAACGTTTTGAACCAACAACAGAAGGAGGCTACTGCTAACCACTCACAGTCCTTTCCTCCTCCTATTTGGTGGGTAGTTTGAGGACTGTTTACCTTGTTTGGGACTTGGATAGGTTATTTGAAAAGGGAAAGACCCCCAGACATTATGGCAAATGGCAACTATGGCTGCCTTGGAAAATGAGACACATAGAGTGGAGGAGAAAGGAATATGTTGAGGGAAAAGAGGACCTTTTAGAAAACTGTATTTGAGAAACATGAAACGTATAGTTTAGTCTGTTCATAGAAATCCTACACAAAGAGCATGCAAGAGTCCTTTGATTTCTAAAAGGACATAAAAAAGTCAAGGTCGCAGAACCTGTGTCATTGGATGACCCTTAGTATTCTGCTTGTAGTTTAGTGACATTAGAGGAGAAGTACTCAGTTTAATGGAAAACTTGAGTTTCACCTCTTGTACACCACTGTAGTTTGTACAGTATTTCTTGTTGAGATAGGATTCATTGTATTATCTATCATATAACAAAGTACCGGGCTTCCCTGGTGGTGCAGTAGCTGAGAGTCCGCCTGCCGATGCAGGGGAAACGGGTTCGTGCCCCGGTCCGGGAAGATCCCACATGCCGCAGAGCGGCTAGGCCCGTGAGCCATGGCTGCTGAGCCTGCGCGTCCGGAGCCTGTGCTCCGCAACGGGAGAGGCCACAACAGTGAGAGGCCCGCATACCGCAAAAACAAAAAAAACAAAACAAAGTACCCCAAATTTACCCCAATATATAGCAACAACTATTTATTAATCACTTTTTGTGGGTCAGAAATTCAGAAGTGACTTAGCTGGGTAGTTCTGATTCAGGATCTTATGTGATTGAAGTCAGAATGTGGCCAAGGGCTTCCAGTCACCTGAAAGCTTAACGGTGGTTGGAGGATCCACTTCCAAGATGGCTTACTCCAAGATGGATTTTGGCAAGATACCTCACCACATGGGCCTCTCATCACAGTGTGCCAGCTATCTTCCTCAGAGTAACAAAGAAAGAGATCCAAGAGAGCAAGGAGGAAGCCACAGTGCTTTCTACAAGCTAGTCTCTAAAATCACACCTTTGCTTCCACTTTATTCTGTTCATTAGAAACAAGTCACTAAGTGCTCCAGAGATAAAATAAGTTCTTCTTTAAAAAAAAAAAAAAGATTATCAAAGATTTTGTAGACCTACTGTATTTAAAAGCATCACAGGGGGACTTCCCTGGTGGTCCAGTGGTTAAGACTCCGTGCTCCCAATGCAGGGGGCCCGGGTTTGATTCCCGATCAGGGAACTAGATCCCACATGCCACAACTAAAAGAGCCCACATGCCACAACTAAGACCCAGCACAGCCTAAATAAATAAATATTTTTAAAAATAAAAATAAAAGCATCACAGGGATTGTTGATTGTGGTATACAGAACAGGGTACCAAAAGATCAAGGGTGTGCGTGGGGGCAGCATAGTACATCATTTACCATATGATAAATATTGATGAGAGCTAAAGGAACCTGGCAGAATTTAATAATGAATTTGACTCACCTGAATCCTATTGTTATTCATCTCAGAGGAAAGAAATAATCATAGCTTATTATCTTAAGAATAATTTCAAAAATTCTAATATGAATATAGACTTTCCAGAGGAGATTAGCTGAGCAGTGCTTTAGAGCACCAAGAAACTGTCGCATGTTATTACTTTAAAAGTTAAAAATTGTAAGAAATCAAATAACACAAAAATGCATACACTTATTCTTGGCAAAGACTACTATCTTGTTTGCAGGACACCATTGTCAGACATAGTAACATATGTCATGATAGCAGTTATTATTTAGCAAATTTTATATTTTAATATAAGTACAAATTCTGAGAAGGGATCGAACCCAGGCCCCCCTGCAGTGGAAGCGCAGACTCCTAACCACTGGAACGCCAGGGAGTTCCCCTGGATCATTTTTATGATCTTGGAAATGAGATTTTTTTATAATACGGCTCTGGGAACCACTTCAGTTGCAAACTAAATGCTACCCTAGGTGTGTAGGGTGTGACAAAAGATTTTGTCATCTTTCTATCCCTTTTTTTGTGTGGAAGTTATACAAAAGTCCTAGAGTGTTTTGACACAAGAAAATATAGAGAGCAAAAATGTAGAATACATAAAAGAATTTAGTGATGTTGGTAAATTTTCTTCACTCATTCATTCAATAACTCTAAACTGCCCTCTGATTTAATAACCAATATAGACGTTATTGAATGTTATAAAGTTTTTTCAGATTCTAGGATCCGAGATACAAAGTATATATTATATGAGTTTATTTGAACTTTTAATTATTTAGAGACCATGTGTTCATGTGTATAGAGATGTTTTTATGCTTTATTTCTGATTTTCTATGTATAATTTATTCTTTATACATCTTTTTTCATCTGAGTTATACGCTTTAAACAAAAGTTTAAAAGTACAAAGAATGGGGCTTCCCTGGTGGCACAGTGGTTGAGAGTCCGCCTGCCGATGCAGGGGACACAGGTTCGTGCCCTGGTCCGGGAAGATCCCACATGCCGCGGAGCGGCTGAGCCCGTTAGCCATGGTTGCTGAGCCTGCACATCCGGAGCCTGTGCTCCGCAATGGGAGAGGCCACAACAGTGAGAGGCCCGCGTACCGCAAAAAAAAAAAAAAAAAAATACAAAGAATGCAGTTGTTACTGAAAGATGCCAGTTAGACAGTTGGCAAATTTCTAACGTAGCTATCATTGTGATTAGATCAGCAGATACATGGTAGCTTTGAGGAGCAGGAAAGATTTTATAGGTTTAGAATAGTAAAACAGTAATGGAGCTGTGGAGCTGCCATCAGTGCTAACATTAAGGAAGTAGGATGTGCTGTACCTGTCAATTGCAAGTAAACATAGAAGCTCTGATATGTTTGAAGAAAGCTGATGTCTAAAAATTCGCTTGTCAATCAGTTAGACAAGAAGTTTTTGGGTTTTTTTTTAACATCTTTATTGGAGTATAACTGCTTTACAATGGTGTGTTAGTTTCTGCTTTATAACAAAGTGAATCAGCTGTGCATATACATATATCCCCATATCCCCTCCCTCTTGCACCTCCCTCCCACCCTCCCTGTCCCACCCCTCTAGGTGGTCACAAAACACAGAACTGATCTCCCTGTGCTATGCGGCTGCTTCCCACTAGCTATCTATTTTACATTTGGTAGTATATATAAGTCCATGCCACTCTCTCACTTCGTCTCAGCTTACCTTTCCCGCTCCCTGTGTCCTCAAGTCCATTCTCTACATCTGCGTCTTTATTCCTGTCCTGCCCCTAGGT